CACCTAAAATATATAACTTATTATCAATAAGAGTAGCAGTGTGCAAATATCGTTGCATTTGACCATTTACTGATAATAATTGCAATAAGATGAATAACGTAGAAACGCTCTTTAATATCATCATATTCATAGTTTATTAAATATTTTTTAAAAAAAAAAAAATGAAAAAAAAAATTTCAAACTTTATCGATTACTCGGAAATTTTTTGTACTCAAACATTTATGTAACTAAAAATTCACCACAGATTTTATTATTTGTGTTTGCCTTATACATTATGTTTATTATTTTTTTTGTTTTTTGTTGTATAAGATCCTATTAGGGTTTCGTAATTTATTTTCATTTTTCGTTTAAAGAAAAAATTTTACATCCAATTTCCTTATGGCAGTAAATGCAAAAAAAAAAGTGATCTCTGTTTTTTTACATATATAACCAGAGTAAATAAAAATAAATAAATAAATAATATAATTTCAACTAAAGAAAATAAATCCTGAATAGGCGGGGATTTTTTACTGACTCTGATATATGTTGCAAGACAGAGGACTGTAAGATTGAAAGTAGAAATTGAAGTTAATACCTATAATTGAAGTATCGCACTTAAAAAATGGTACCTCTACTTTTGAATTTAGGTATGATTTATTTTATACACACATGATTAAAATAGCTCCTTTGGATTAAGGTTATTAAGCTAAGTGGGAAAAAAAAAAACGAAACTTATCTTTCAAAGTTACGTTAATAGTTGAGGGACCAACCTGCTCCGTGCCCAATATTTCACGTGACAAGTTATGATTGAAAGATCAACTATTCATATGTATCTATTTTTTTTTATTTCACCATATAACATGAATTTTAAGTGACGAAAGAATGTTTGATTCAATGTATTTGGAAAAAAAAAATTAAAAATGATTCAAATTAAATCATTAGAACAAGATTAAAATAATTTAATTTATTTTATTTTTTACGAAATAACAAGATAAATGTGATGCAACGATTACGAGAAAAAAACGAAATAGAATGTCTAACTTGTCCGAGCAGAAGCAACCCAGAGAGCGGCCAGTGAAAGTTAGTACACCAATTTTTTTTTCATTATTTGGTCTCTTTGGATTTTATCACATTTTAAACTTGAATCAACATATATCATCAAAACTTTTTTTAATAAGGCGAATAAATAAAAACAAATACAACCTTTTAAATAAATAAAAAATACAAATACTAATACTAATACCATAAATAATAATAATAATAATAATAAATCATAATTTCTAATGTATATAAAAATTAAGAAAAATTACATTACCACTTAAACCTACCTTATTTATGAATATTATGAGACAGTTGAATGTTCCATTTTAGTTACTCTAACAGTACCATCTATTGCGGCAGTTAAGATAGTATTTCCAGTCGTATTGGTCCAATCAACGGTTGTTAAATATTGTTTATGTGATGTCAATTCTTGAACTCGATCTCCATTAGATGTCTTTTTTTTTAAAAAAAAGAAATTAAATAGAAGCTATTTTTTTCAAAAAGAATAAAACAGAAGCGACCAAAAAAAAATTTTTTTTTACCTGATAAATAACACCTTGAGTTCCGTCATTACCACCAACACATACTAAATAATCAGTATCGCCGCTAAATGCTACCATTGGGACGCGTGAAGTCGGTGTATAATGTGATATAGTTTCAGTGCCAATCACAATTGAAGGTATTGAAGAGGTTGATCTTGTGGATTTCGTTGAACGAACTGATGACATTGATGTTGTACGTTTACGAAATGTTTTGGTTGATGTAGGAGTAAAATTAATTAAAGTTGTTGGTATAGTTGGTGGAAACCCTTGTAGTTTCGATTGTGATATAGCCAATCCAGGTTTATGAACTGACCATTGTGATAACTTTATAACAAAGTATTTCATAATCAATAAATTAAATTAATTTTAATTATCACAAAGCAAATAAATTGCAATGCTCTGTTAGGAAATGTAACTAACCTCTCCCGACTCCTCAACTACATATATAGAATTCTCGTCAAAACTATATTGAGATGAACAAATAACGCTATTGCCACCACTTTTACTTGCAGAAGAAATATTCCACTTCATGATTGGTGTTAATGTTCGAATATCTATTAAATAGATTGTACTATCATCATTATTTATTTATTATAAAAATAAATTAAAAATAAAAATAAAGTTAATTCATTCATTTACCAAATATTCTTATACCACCAGATTTATCTCCTGTTACCAACATTTGACCATTGTGATTAAATTTAATGGTTTCTATCGGTGTTAAAGGTAACGAAGATGGTGAATTTGATGAGGCTTCAAACATAAATTTATCTTGTATAGTCATTGTTTTTAAATTCCAAGTAATTAAAGATCCCGTTACACTTTTGATACAAGCATCATCAATTGATCTTGGTGACCCTGAACATGCAAATAATGATTCCACCGGTGAACAGCTTATCTGGTTTACCCTAAAAAAAAAAAAAAAAAAAATTTATAAAGTTAAATAATTGAAGTCTCGTAACTTTCTTACTGTTAACACAATAAATACCTCGGAAATCGATCATCCATTTGGAATTCATGAACAATTGACCTGTTCTCTTTATTATAAACTTTAACCAGTCGTTCGTCCGTACCATATAATAACTATTACAATAACGAAAATTTAGATTATATATTTTATATAACATTTTTTTTTTTTTTTTTGGAAAAAAAAACTTTATTCATCCCCAAATTTCTTACAAGTTTGTCTGATCTCGCTTCCCATTCTAAACTTAATATATTAGAATTTAGATTACTAAGCTTCAATGTAGGTGATGTTCCCGTGTAACTCCATATCCTATTAATAATTTATATTTCAACAAGAAATTACAAAATGAGTTTACCAAAATTATTTTTATTTATACCAAAAAACAAAGCATTTAACTTATACCTAATAATATTATCCACATCACAACTTGCAATTAAATCACCCTTATGTGAAAATTTTGCCACAGATATTCCTGATGAATTTTCCAAGAATAATTCCTAAGTAAAGTAAATGCATTAACGTATTTGAATTTATGAGTATAAATATAAACATATATTTTTACCTGACTCGTGACAGTAAAGGGATTTGCATTTGCATGTCCATTCCTTAATTCAAATTCATCCGTATCATATTCTGATATAGGCGACATGCTTCGCTCATCTGTTGGCGTCTTTATGCCATTTTGAAGTGACCCTGTTTCGTGTTTCCCACTTGGCGTTGTAGATCTTGAAAGTGATGACAAATTAACTTCTTCATAATGCCATATTTTTATTATAGCAAAGAATATGGTAAAAAATATTAATTTAGATTGAAAAGTGGGAATAGGTTATTTAAATAAATGATTCATTTACCATTCGAAGTTAAAGTTAAACGAGATACATCGTGATGATTTCTAATAAATTCATTAAAGTTAGCTCTTTGCGACAATCTTATTAAAAGCATCTCATTATACTCACAAATCTTTTTCATTTTTCTCGCGTAAATTATCACAACTTTGCCGTCGACTTCCTGCTAAATCGCGTTGAGCAACCTAAAATAATCAAATTACCCAGTATGCAAATGCGAATGCTTTATTGTTAAAGACATTGGAGTTATATTAAGAATTTTTTGATATCTCAAGTAACAAAGTAAAAGTAAATATAAATTAAAAAATATATGTATATATATTAATACCAACTTTTTGTTTAAGCGATATAATCTCTGTGTCACCATTCTCTAATTCTGTTTTGAGAGACTCAATTTCATTTTGAAGTGCTCTTCGACGCAATCGATCAAGATTAAAACATAATAAACTTGGTAGCGCTAAATTTTAATATCATTTGAATTAAAAGATAACAAATAGCAAATATTATAAAAATGTATGCAATGAATCATTAAAAAGGATACGCATATGTTTAAATATGGTATTTAGGAAATTATGTAGAGACATAGTGAATTTATCTAACCACTGTTTTGTGAAAAATGTTTCGAAGCTTGGATCTGCAGCTGGGTGTTTTGAGAATGGCAAGCCTTTTTTTTTTTTAAAAAAAAAAAAAATTTCAATAAATATATACTAGATAATAAAAATATCATGTTCGAGTTCTCACCAAACCATTTTGACCATTCAGGATTTCCAATTAACTCTGCTCCAAAAGTATCAAAAAATTCGATGAGCTTATCTCTTCGCTTTTGTTGCGTTGCTACAGTAAATATAAAAAAAATAATAATAAAAATTTAAAAAAAAATCAACATAAAAATAATCTAGTATCCAATTTTTCAATATCTTTTTTTACCATAAACAAGATAATATCTTAATAAACTAGTTTCAAATTTTTTTACGCTTCCAAAAAATCTTGCATCTAGACGAGAAAAATATCTTAAATCAAGGTATTTCCAATAATCCAGTAATCCATTAATATCACTAGATGTAATATAAGAATTTAATTCTTCAATGATTTTATCGGCCTAAATATTTTTTTGATATATTATTTATATGCACTTTGATAATGATTAACAGGCGCTTATACAAATACATACTTGAAAACCTTTGTCTTTATCGTTTCGACAATCTTGTTCGAATGCGCGAAAAGTATTTGAGAATCCTCTAAACTAAAAGTTGAAAGTTAGGTTAAGAATATTAGAAAATAACCAAACGTGTTTCCTGAGAATTAAAAATTTACCAGCAAATATTCTTTGACAAGTTCGTCAACTTGCCGCACAGAATTCATTTTGTTTTAAAAAAAAAGGAAGAAAAAAAAGGCTTTTCCAAAAAGTAATATTAAAAAAAATTTTTTTTTTATGCATTCTTTTTCGAGGTGACACCAAAAATAAAAAAATTCTCGAATCCATAGTTGGAAATTTCAAGAGAGTTGACTTGTTTGAAAGTTTGTTGATTTGATAGGCTAAACCATTATGTAATCAACACTGATTTAGAAATCACGTGGTATTAACTCTATTATAAATAAAGAAAATCAAAAACATTTATGCAACTATTTCGGGTATTTAACGGATCTTCTTCCGGAATTTTTGTCGCATAATTTATTAACCTGAGCTTTTAAGAGTTGCATTAATATTCACTCTTAATAATTAATTAAAAAGTATTTGTAATTACTTAGAATGGCTATTTTTAATTAGTAATGAATAAATTAGAAATCAACAAATAGATTGGCTGATCTATTTTCTTCAATAAATACCACCTTTGCCTGAGTGGGGGGGTTTTTTTTTTATTTATCTTATTTTTTCATTATTATCAAGATTATAGAGATCTAAATCTAATTTATCAGATTTGATTATCACCAGAATAAGTATGCTGCGCCGCACAATTTCTACAATTTACACAGTAACCAAACAAAAAAGGCGCGGTACTCCAAGTATGACGAATGGGATGATTTTACCACTTAATAAATGGGAATTACATGATCCATTCTTGATGTGTGCTGAAGATTGGTTTAGATACCCAGGAGGTTTTGACTTACATCCACACAGAGGTTTTGAGGTACCAATGACTAATTGGATATAATATGATTTTATGTATTTTTCCGCGTGAACTAATTTTTTTTTTTTCATGATTTAGACGGTGACGGTTGTATTTGATGGATTATTACGACATCAAGATTCTAAGGGAAACTCTGGAATAATTGGACCAGGTTCGTATTACATTATTGAATTAAAAAAAAAAAACATTTAAAAAAATCTTTTATTTTACCCGAATGATTTTGTCTAAATCGTTGACTCAAAATTAGAGTAAGTTGCACCGACTCCTTCCTCCTTGTTGCACTTTTAATTTAACAGACTAAAATTTTGCGTTTTTAATATTAATTTAGCGAAGTACAATGGACGACCACGGGACGCGGATTATTACATAAAGAAGTTCCGGCAGATAAAGAGACAGATGTTCATTTGATGCAACTCTGGTTAAATCTTCCTCGAGAACATAAATTGATTGAAGCATCCTATCAAGATCTCACAAGAGATGTCATTCCAACTCGAGAAATCAAAATTTCAAACGAAGAGGAAGAAGAAATAACGGCGGCAAAAATTCGAGTAATTTCTGGTACATCAGGTGATATCAAAGGACCTGCCAAGAACGTGATCCCCGTAAAAGCTTTAGATATCTCCATTCTAGAACATAATTTCACGTTAGAAGAAACTATACCTGCCAATTATAACATGTTCATATTCATACTTGAAGGAAATGGATCCTTCGGTGATGATGATATTAAATTACAATCCGGTAATGTGTTAATTAGTCCTCCATCAAGAATTAATGATTGTGATGAAAAAGAATCGGTATTGAAAATAACTAATGAGGGAGATGGTACATTGAGAGTCATTTTATTTGCTGGACAACCTATCGGAGAACCTGTTGTACAACATGGGCCTTTTGTGGGAAATGAATGGGATGATATTATAAGGGCTCAAAAAGATTTGTATTTAGGCAAATTTTCAGGGTTATAGCTGGTTGCCTACTATTATAGATTAATAATTGTATGGATATATTATTATTATTATTATTTTAACCGAAATTCAATAAATTACTTTAGAAAACGAATGTGTATTTTAATATTGAATTTCGATATGGCTTACTAATTTCTCTTATCTAATCGAATCAAGTTAGCCGAGTTCCATTCATTATATAAATTTATACAATTCATGGTCGATAAGTCAGCTTTTTAAGTTTTCTATTGACTCGTTCTAGTAAACATTTGGACTATTCATTGGCAAACCAGATGGTGCTATTCCCATTTAAAAACTTTAATATTAACAAATACTAAACTTCTGGAATGAAAGTAGTACACGTACCAAATTCAACTCTCCATTATAGTAACAAGAACCAGTTAAACAAATGCTAAGAGATGGAAATGGTCATTGATTACCTGAATTTGTATAAAAGTATTTAACGACCAATTCCTTTTCTAAATTAACAAAAAAAAAAAAAACTTTTATATCCTCTCATTAACAAATCTGATAATCGTTGGGAGTAACTAAATAAATAATTTTCAAATGGAGATGATTATTATATGGCAAGTAGAAATCGTCAGATTTGCACGTGCGATTAAAATCCCTCAGGTCTGAAAGATTGAAGTACAGTATATTGTGATGTATCGCATGTATGATTTATTTTATACACACATGATTAGTAAATAGCTTCTTTGGATTAAGGTTAGTAAGCTAAGTGGTTAGGGAAAAAAAAGAAACGAAACTTATTTTTCGAAGTTACGTTAATAGTCCTGTCTTGCAACATATATCTGAGTCAGTAAAAAATCCCGCATATTCATTTCGCTCAAAGTTTTCAGGATTTATTTTCCTATCTATTTTTAAGCATGTAAGACACCTTCTTTAATTGAAATTATATTATTTATTTAATTATTCTGCTTATACTGTATGTGGATCACTTTTTTTTTTCCTAAAGAAATTGGATGTAAAATTTTTTCTTAAGCGAAAAAATGAAAATAAATTACGAAACCCTATTAGGAATAAAGTATATCTTATACAACAAAAAAAAAAAATAATAATAAACTTAATGTATAAGGCAAACACAAATAATAAATTCTCTGTGATGAAATTTTTAATTACATAAATGTTTGAATACAAAAAATTTCGAGTAGATAAAAGTTTGAAATTTTTTAAAAAATATTTAATAAACAAAAAAATATTATGAATATGATGATATTAAAGAGCGTTTCTACGTTATTCATATTATTGCAATTATTATCAGTAAATTGTCAAATACAACGATATTTGCACACTGCTACTCTTATTGATAATAAGTTATATATTTTA